AAAAAAAAAATTGAGAGAGAAAAAACGAAAGGTGAAGCACCATCTGACCTATGATTCCTGTGCTCCGTATGAGAAGAAAAAGTAATTTTTTCTTTGAAGTAAATAATTCAAAAATTTTGCCAACATTTTAAAATTTTCCCTGTTTATTTTTTTCTCATTACGTCATTTTTACTAAATCCATATCTTGTATCTTAAAAACCATCACTAGTGGAAACCATGGTTTCCAGACCGGTTTTTTGCCATCACGCTAACAAAGCAATTAACTAAGGGAGTGATTAACGGTCACCAATGCTACACAAAGCTCGATCGGAAAGCGTATTCGATGAAATCACCACCGACACCCAGCTAATGATAACGGTCGTTGCATCAGCACTATTGACACTTAGCGCGAATCAGTAATAACACTGATACTTGAAAAGTTTAGGTAGAACTAGAAATATAAATTTTTTTTTCCTCAATCTAAAATTTCAATCTTTAAACTTTTCTGTCTGCTAAAAATTGCAAACAATGAGGAAGTTAGACGAAGAAAGAAAGTTAGCTCAAAAATTTACTATGGATCTAAGACCAGACATAAGCCTATTAAATCAAATTAAACCATTAGGAAATTGAACTGTTTGTTCTAGTGCCACAAAAATTTGCATATGCTGTACCAACAGCAATGTATCAACGACTAAAAGCCAAAGTTACAACTCTGTCTCATTTCAAATTCAGCGACCCCTCCAGGATTATCAAGAATTTTTAATAAGCACCGAGAAGATGCCGTTATAGAGGGATAGCGGCTACACTTCGTTGTACAAAAAAAAACCAAATGTTTAGAAATACGACCAAAGAAGGTCAAAAAGGCCAAAGAGGAAAAGAAAAAATAACAACAGTACCATCTGACATTGACAACAATCATCAGTAACCTGGAATAGTAACTCGGTAAGTAAGAACAAAATTTAATAATTGGTAGATAAGTAACCAAAATCCTTCTTTTTTAATCTACTCCTAAATACAAATCTATAGAGGGCATCCTTAAAATGATGTTGCATAAGAGAGCATCTTTTAAGAAACGAAAGCAGTTGCCTAAGCAGCCAAAGGCGATCGTTTGGCGAAGTAGAAAATATAGAAAAGAACCGTTGAATAAAGCAGGAAAAAAATCAGTTTGTATTCCGCATTATCCCAGCTAAATTATTGATGACTTTTATTCATGAGATTCTGTACACTGCCGTCTTAGGCATTTGCATAACTTCTTCTACAGTAACCGAGTAGTATCAACGTGAAAAATTCAATAAATATTGCAGGTGAAAAACAATCAAAAGTAAAATTGGATTTCAATTTAAATGTTCTTTTTTTTTTCTGCTTACTGTGCAAAAATGATGTTTTACTTATTAATCATGTTTTTCAAAAAAAATTAAACTTCAATAAATGTACGGAATATACAGATTCATGGTAACCTTCTATGATTCTTTAAAGTTTTTCATCAACTTAAGAAAAACCGTACTGCCGTTGAAATCTGTTGGTGGGTTTTACAGATTCCGGACAGAACGAAATTGATTTGAACTACAATTTACAGTTTTTCGATCAATTGACATCAACAAAAAGCAATACTGTTTGAATTTAAAAGTGTTATAGCCTTTTGATTTCAATAAAAATAGTTAAAAAATTTGTTATACTAAAATTTCTGTAAGCATATTTATACTGTGCAATCCAAAAGAAATCTATATCGTAAAACTTCCTTCAAAATATTGCATATTATAGTTCAATTAATGCATTATTTTTTTTTCTAAAAGTGAATAAGAAAACCAAAGAGAAAAAAAATCTTTTGCTTCATTCATTTTACACACACATATCCTGTAAATATTCCAACATCCAACTCCAAATTACAAACCTCTTAAATGTGGTACTCATAAAGTTACAGACTTTATGAAGAATCTTCTTCATACGTTGCTTATTTGACCGAGATAAATCAGTGATAAAAACAAAGATTTACTCACAAATCTGTAAAACTCATCTAAAAACGCCAACTGAAAAGCTGGCAACTAAAGTTTCATCAGATGCAGAAACGTATGAAAATTTAGATGAATAAAAGTGGAAGATCCAGCTGATCAAACAGCGAATTGTACGAAAAACTCAATTTCTCATCCGCACCTACACCCACCCCTTCCAAAACAACAGTATTCCTAAACATCTCCAGCCTCACAAAATATGATTAGCAGCTTGGAACACACGTTGGTGCAATAAAACTAAATACATTTATCACTCTCCCATGACTATCTGAGTTGAGTAGCCCGTCTACAGAAATCTCAACGATTACGATGTCACCCCAGAAGCAACTTCCTAAAAAGACAAAAATTATCACCAAATCATGACCAATCATGGCCGTAGCTATTCCAGTTTTCAGAATCCCAAAACCGTTTTAGTAGTTACGCGTTCCGCGTTAGTGAGGCACTCAGCAACACGCAGCAGATGAAACGCCCTACACGTCTGCCGCCACTTTATAGGCACTTCCCTTCATACCAGTGACAACCTATATGAGACAATGATATCAGTTTCCCCATTCCAAACAGTTCTATTTGGACCTTCAAAACAAATCAGTGAACAAACACAGAACAACGTAAACAAAAATCTAGAAAGAAGTTCTATAAAAACACCGTATCTATATAAAGAAAATGAGTTCTGCAAAACAACCTCTGAGAATGCAAACAATAGGGCTTCAAAAAATCAGATAAATAATAGTAAACTTCCTCTAGAGCAACTAAATCACATAATCAGGAAACAAAGCAAAAAAAATTTTTTAAACATCAAACAACGAAAAACACCCCAAGAATTCAATCGGATTATAAAAAGAGATCAATTCAAAATAAAAATACAAAACCATCCAGGAGGAACGACATAAATTTTTTAAATAAGTAATATAATTTACATCCTGCAAAGAGCAGTTATACAAACAGAGTACGGCAGGTTACACCAAAGTTTGACAAATGAATATAAATACAAGCTCAATAAACAGCACGAAAAATCCCCATTATGGTTAAGTTTGTTAAAACAGCACTTTAAACAGTTTTTAATCCAATGCTGACAATGAAGCGCAGTCAGAAGCTACACCTACAGCTTTGTCTAATGCGAGGGGAAGACTGGCAAGTTTATCGCCTTCAAACTTAGCAAGGATTTCATACACCATACGAGCCACTACAGCCACACTCAACCTAAAAAAGAAATCCAAGCCTTAAGATCAATGGTTTTGAAAAGCGCCAAAAAATTCGTCATTTCTATCTAAAAACTACCGTTCAAGGTTAGTTTTAGTTTCCATATAAGACAGTCGTAAACCCAAAGACCGTGCAAGATCGACGAGTTCATTAACCTAAAAAAGCACATCAATCCATCAATGCATATCCTTTTTTTTGAATATCACTCTAACTAACACATGGCATTCCGAATTTTTGAACTAGAGAAATGCATTTGTAAATAAACAAGAGGAAGCTATCTCGAAAGCTAACGGCCAAGTTGAATAAAAAGTCAGAGTAAAAACAACGAAATGTGGTATAACGTGCAGCAAAAGCGAACCGGCCAAATTGCGAAACCGTCAAAAAAAAGATGAAAACAAAAAGTTTGTACTTTTAGTAATTCAGAAGATAGTAAAACAGACCTCTAAAAAACTTAGCAGCAATCAGAACTATAAATCTATTTTTGTCAGCTGAATCTTACCTGTGTTTCATCCTGAATTTCTCGAATAGACTGTTGCAGACGACAAAAATCTGTATATACTTGGCCACAAGGCCCCCAATTGCTTATATAACTGCTACTCTCCTCAAACTTCAAAGAGAAGTCACTCAAAATATCCAACTGATCTAAAAATATTAAAGTGAGAAAGACACTAAAAAGATAAGCTGTCATTTCCGCCGCTATAGTGAAGTTACAATTCAGCTCAAAGGTTGATAAATTCAGGTTTGGGGAAGTTTAGCAAGCGCTAAAAAACTTTTATTGGAGATAACAAGACTTAAATTTTTTTAAAATATATAATATGTATTTAACTAATTTTATGCAACCCAGCATTGGTAAACCAGAGGAAATCAAACGTTCAAAAGAGAAACCATTTATAACGGCATATGGGCCCACTTGGCTGACGAATATGAGATGGGCTTCCTCAAACATTTTTGCTTCCAGAGCATAACGGCACATCTCAACAAAATCGGAATGAATCCTCGCATTTAAGAACCTTCAAATAGATAAAAAAACCGTTCTGACAATCTTATTTCTTTGAAATTCTATTTCAAATAAGCTAAAAAATGAAATGGCATGGCAACTCTTTAGTTCGAAGCAGAAAACTAACAGCTGGTACCGTCTAAGAAGTCTAACTTAGTTTATTACTCTAAAAACTAAACGTATGATCCGCGCAAAACAATACATTTTAGAGAACCAGTTAAGTTTTAACAAAACATCGTGTCCAAAAAATAAGCCATTAAAAACTGAATCTTCCAAAAATCCTACAAACAAAAGTATATCTAAATTCTTAAGGCCATCAAAAAAATACTTTGAATGCGCAATGATCTCTGACGGTACATTCAATTCAACCAGCTTTTCCCATTGTTCGACAGCGTCTTTATCCGCCAAACGATCTGTCATTGAAGAAACAGCATTGCATCGACTAAAAATTTTGCCACTAATTTGTCGAAAAATAATATGATGAAGAAATAATTCTATTACTAACGTGGAATCATGAGGAATATGCATTAGAACAAAGACCGCTAGATCGACAAGATCAAGTTGAGCAAGCTGCTCCGCATAGCCGACGTGAATCTTACACTGAGCGGTCTCCGGAAGGTTACTAAATCCTAATGACTCGAGTAAGCAAAACAAAGGCCATCTGGAAATAAGTTAAAGCTTTTGAAGCGGACTAAAAATGACTTCCTCTGGAAAGAAATATACCCAACAAACTCACGTGACACGGTAATCAAGGTAGTTTGAAGAGAAGGCCGTCGGCTCTAACAAGGGAGCCAGCAAATAATTTTTATTACATGCAAGTTTGACAAGGCCAAAATAAACAGACTGAAATACTTCAGATCCTTCCTTTTCGCTAATAAACGACTCAAATGCTTGTACTGCTTCGAGCATTGTGGTTTCTGCGGTACAGTAATACCACACGTAAAGTCCTAATGCCTGAAGTGAATGTTTTTGAGCAGTCTTAATTGAAAAAGACACAAATAAAAATCAAAAACCTACCTGTGCCCAGTCAAGCCCATCAGTAATGCAAACTTGACGACCTTTAATTTCTACAGCAGGTATTCCAGCCATAATCAAGTAAACTTTCATTAAGTTTTCATCAATATATTCGTGAGCACCACAGCTCAACCAGTAATTTATCTGCAAATAAAGTTACCAAAACCCATCACACAAATCTCTGAAAAAAAATCTGCGTTATTACCTGTTTCCTGTATGCTGCTCGACGAGAATTTTGAAAAGTAGCAAGAGTAATGGCAAGCAGATGTCGTTTGGAAGTTATCGCTTCCTTGACAGCAGATATAAGGTCGCCACTGCACAAATAATAAAATATAAGAGCAGAGCCAGAAGTGGGCAAAGTATCATTCTTGTGCTCTTGGGCTACTACCTCTCGAAGCCATCTTCCAAGGCACTCGCGTTGTAGAATTTGTTTTAATTTCTCATTCCTCACTAAAAAACTCCCTTATTTTAAGAAGAAGAAAAACATCAGTAAAATTTCTAACTAGTTATTTTATGCCTAATTTAACTTTAAATGAATGACTCAAAAAAGTTTAAAAGTTTGCAAAGTCGAAAGTTTTTATTAGTAAGGAAGAGATAAAGAGATACCATTGATATGTGACTCATCAGTAAACAGCGCTTTACAGAGTTTCCAAACCTTTAAATCATCATACTGCTTGTGTTTTCGAGAAAGCTCAATAAATGCATCAATCACTGCGGAAGGCTCCTGTAAAGTTTTACAAAAAGCATTACGGTACACCAAAATCAAATAAAGAAAGAAGACGTATGTTACCAACAAAACATTAACGATTATCGAAAATTGAAAAGAAAAAAAACCATTGCAGCACGTATGAGGTCAACCATTCGCAGAAATCAACTTACAGCAGACAGCTTCACTAGTGGGACGGAAATACTAGCACCAAAGAAATTAGTTTTTGGTTTTTCAGTGTAAGAACATGAATAGAGCATTTTTTCCATCATGTCCCGCAAAAAGTCCTGCAAAAGGCTATGCATAGCTAAACTCAATTATTAAAAATCAAACAGCAGCAACAAAATCGTAAAACTTTAAGGAATAAACTCTGAACAATAGCATTAAACTGCATAAAAACTTTACGATAAATCAGAATAATTTTTAAAACGGCAATTCAGTAGCATAAAAAGATTTTTGTTCAAAAACGGGTTGATGAGCAGTTCGAACGTAACAGAAATACTTCTCTGCGTACTACACAATTACACTCCACTTTTCTTTGCCTTTGCGAAAAAAAGCAACACTGCGTGAAACTGACTGAAAAATTAAAGTTGTTTATAAAACTCTTATTGAAAGCGTTGAATCCATTACCACAAGGCTGCCGTCAGCAGACTGCATTTGTCGAACCACAACAGAAAATGACTCGGGAAGTGCGCTAAGTGCATACTTTGTTCCTAAAGCGAGCTTACTCTCTCAACCAATAAAAAACAGAAAAGACTGGTAAATAATTGTTGAACAAATAAAAGTTGCATGTCTCTAATCAAAAATGCCACTGTAGCGAACGTACCTGGACCCCAACCGATTCGCCCACTCCGTCCATGAAATAAACTAACATCAAGACGCGAAATTTTCTTTCCGAAAAGACGCTCAGTAACGGAGTTCTCAGCTCTAATATAAGGTAAGTCGGTCAAAGGCTCAACAGTCTGCAGCTCAACTTGTGAGTACTTGCTTGATTCTCTTTCACTTAACTCTAAAGTCAGCGAATCCTTGAGTATAGAATCCAAACACGATGGTTCGTCTAAAAGATGAAATAGAAAACTAAGTGTTACAAAACACAGTAGATCAAGACCAACTAGAATATTAAAAAAATTTTCTATAACTCAATCAAAAATCGATCACCATGTAAAAATGTTCTCCGAGCACTCCTACTCTCTAAGGGTGTTCGCCCAGCAAATGAACCAACGGTAGTTCCAGTAAAATTTAAAAATGAATTTTCACTGATCTCTTCAACTCTTCCGCCTAAAATGAAGGACAAAACGAACTGTTCCAGCGAAAACAACATAAAAGTACAAACAGATAGAGAAATTTTCACTGCACTCAAGGGTAATAAATAGAACAGTCATCAGTTGACGACACCTACCAAACCAGAATTTAAATTTTTAACAATTTTATCCAACATTTAGGAACACCAACATACCGTAAGTGCCTCCTAACCCCCTACTGCTTATCGAAGACTGCGCTACTTCAATACCACCTGCTTCCAATGAAATACTCAGGTCTCCTCTTGACTTCTAAAAATAATGTATTTGCTTGCAAGCTCCAGACAGTACGCTTCAAGTTGCAAAATGCAGATATCTTCAGAAGACAAATTTAGTTATGGATATATATGAGAATAAATACGTTTACCACTGACTGCACAAAGAAATTTCACTCCAAAAAAAAACTCAAAATAGATCAATGAATTCTAACACGTTTAATAAATTTTGCAAGTTTAGCTTTTAAGCAGAGGCCATGCTTATAATAAAAATGTCATTTCATACGCCGACTACAAACTTGCAAAGTATGTTTTATCAAAAACATCACAATTTGTAAATTTTTAAAATAAAGAAAAAAAACACTTCGAATATGGCCGTTTTTACACATCGAAAAGTAAATGACTTAATTCCCTTAGGGAGTAATGCAAACAAACTTTATATTACACAAAACCAACAAAACTACAGTTTTCTCCTGGTATATAAACATAACAAAAACCGATACAATAAACTAGTTCAAAGAGACCTTGAGACCAGTAGCTTCAACAGCTGCCTCCGCATCCCCAAACTGATTTCTTAACCCGAGTGGCGGACGTGCCCGTTGCACTGCAGACTGGACAAGATTATCAATTTTAGAAGCTACCAATTGCTCCGAGCTTGGCATTTCCTCATCGCTCTCGTCCTAAATGTTATAAAGGCAAAAATGTTTTAGAAACCCTGACACTAAGATAAAGAATTATAATGGAGTATATCAGAAGAAAGCGGCGTCTTAAGCCAA